TGGCATGGGACTGGCATGTGGGGATGAGAGCTACAAGTCACATTTTATAAGCTGCTTTATGTGGCTATGCATCACTCAGTGACTTTTTGTTTTTTCCGAGACAGGGTTTCTTTGTGTAGCTTTGTAGACCAGGCTGACCTCGAACTCACAGAGGTCTGCCTGCCTCTGCCTCTTGAGTGCTGAGACTAAAGGCGTGAGCCACCACTGCCCAACTTTGTGACTTTTTTTACCCCCCCCCCCCCCGGCTTCATATTTTATTCAAATGTTGTATCTCATCCCAGAAGTCCCAGGAAAAACCAAGGAAGGAAGTTGTTAAGGAGGAGCCAGTGGCCATGGCCCTACCTTCTCTCTCCATCCCCATTCCCTCAACTCAACAGAGGTGACACATATTCAAGCAAGGTCAACTTCTCCAAGTGGGGGGCCTCGGGCCTAGCTACCCTGGACAGGGAAGCAGGGTTCTCAGGACACCAGGCCTCTATTTCAGATCCACTAGTCTGCTGTGTGCCCCAGCAGTGGGCCACAGCCTCCACATCTGTAAAAGTGCATGGCCAGGGTCTCTTCCAGTCCTGTCTGCACCAGGAAAATCACAACTAGGACCCAAAGCATCCTGGCCCTTCTGTGAGGCTCCTAGAGTTTGGTTCTTTCTAAAAATAGCTCTTTGCGAGTGCCAGACAGCATGATGCTGGTTACATAACTCCAATCACCAGCGATGCTCCCAAGCCTGCAAGGTGAAATGCCACCAACCCCACCTAGACACACCAAAGCACCAAGGCACAGAGCTGGGAACTTATCCAAGCTGGAGACCTGCTTGGAAGGGTCTGAGCAGGCACAGGAGCCTGGTGCGTCTGAGTCTAAAGACTTACTTCTCCTGTGTCAACTTCTGACGATGTCCTCTACCCTCAGACAATTTCCAGACTTACTGGTTTGTCATGTTATTTTTAAGGGTCATCAATTTTATGTAGGGTTTGTTTCTTTGTTGTACCCTCTCCAGGTAAAAAGGCCAGGTACGGGATCCCTTGACCTAAACAGTGTATGCATTTTGGGTCCATGGAGGCAAAGGAAGCTTCCAGACTTGAAAATGGGGTGAGTTGAGGGGAGAATTGCATTTCACTTTCTATTCCTGTATGTCCACAGTGCATAAGAAATTTAAACGCAAACTTACCTATTTCTCTAACAAATACTTAGCTAATTAACTTATAGAGAAAAGGTTTGAGAGAGGTGGCTCATCAGATAAAGGCTCCAGCTGCCAAACCTGATCATTTGAATTTGATGTCCAAGGCCACATGGTAGGAGAAAAACAACTCCCTAGTACTGTCCTCTGATTTCCATATATGTGCTCACACACACTCACACACACACACACACACACTCACACACACACTCACACATACACTCACACACTCATACACACACTCACGCTCACACACACTCACACACACATACACACACACTCACTCACACACTCACACATACACACACTCACACATACACACACACACTCACACATACACACACACACTCACACACACACTCACACACTCACACACACTCTAAAACATTAAAAATATAGTTTAAAAGAAAGGTTTATTTTAGTTTTTCATTTTGAAGTTTCCTGTAATACATGATTGTTCCAAAGGCTCTTAGACCAATGAAGAGGCGCATATTGTAGTGGACTATGAGCTGGGCAAAACCACTCCCCTCAAGTTTGGGATGAACCACAGAAGGTGTCAGAATCCCACAGTCTTTCTGGGGCATGTTTTCAGTGACCTCACTTCCTCTTCCCCAGCTCCAAACCACACCTCCTTGAGGAACAGCCTTTTATCACAAGGACCTGTGGTGTCTGGCTCATAGCAACTTCCTAGGTCAGCTCAAATTCTGGTGTTGCTTAATGCCTCCCCAAACAGGGCTCACTTCAAATTAAAAGCTCCCTTTTCAAGGCTGGGTGGTGGCGGCACATGCTTTTAATCCCAACACTCAGGAGATAGAGGCAGGTGTATGTCTCTGAGTTCCAGGCCAGCCTGGTCTACAGAGTGAGTTCCAGGACAGCCAGGGCTACACAGAGAAACCCTGTCTAGAAACACAACCCCCAGAAGCTTCCTTTCCCATTCTAACAAGCCACTGCTCACCTGACCATCAGCTTTGGTTTCCCACTGTTTCAGCTATCAAGTGGATACAAAGCACACTTCTTTTATTCCTTTGCCCCACACTGGCACTGTGCAAGTAGAAGCTGCTCCATAATAAATGATCCAACAACTAATAGTTACAGATTAATGAATTTGGAATAATTCAGGACCTAAGACGTTTTGGGTGCTGTTAATGGAATCTGGCATTTTAAAAGTGCATCAGAGATTATTAGGTATTTCTGGTGTAGGTTCCTCTGAAAACCAGAGCAACCCATTAGAGAAAAGTTGAGATAGGTTAAGTGGCTGACTCTAGGAACCCAGATCTCTTACTTCACAGTTTGTATTTCTACTCTAGTTGACTCTCTAGGATGAATATAGAATGAAACATGGAGACCGACTCTGTCTATAAAATAGCCTTACCAGTAGAGGGAGCAGAAACACTCATGGGTCTGTTTGTGTGCTGGCCCAGTGACCAGTGAGAGAATTTTTTTTTTTTTTTTTTGGTGCCTTGTCATTAAAGTATCAGTAACAACAATACCTCTTTTACCACTACCTCCGGGTGGTCCAGCACATTGTGGCTGTCACACTGTTGGGGAACAATAAGTCATCTCTCAGGACCCCCACTAGGGGATCACAGGGACATGGACACTAAGTAGACATTGATTGATTGTTATTTGATGATAAACATCTGAAATCAATTTGCCTACTTGGAACTTAAAGTAAGCAGAGTTATATCAAATGGTCAAATAAATGAATTTGCTGAAAATGTGCCAGTGCCCAGCAAGAATTCCAGAGGCAGATTAGATCTTCCCTAGACAAGCTTCAGTTTAAACTGAAAAATGTTAATATTGTATGGTAGTCTGGGATACTGAGTGACAGGCCTATAATACTACCTTTTTGGGAACCAAGGCAGAAGGTTCGTAAGTTCAAGACCTGCCTATACTACAAAACGAATTCAGGGCCACCCTAGACTCCAGAGACCCTGTCTCATAATCTAGAAACAAGAAAAGAGAGCTGGGATAAAGTTCAGTGATGGAGTTCTTGCCTAGGCTGAGTGAGACCTGGAGTCCTCAGTACTGTCCCCGAAGGCCATAAGTAAACAATATAGATCTATAGGTAGACGCCCTTCATAGTACAAAGGCTGAAAGATTGTCATTGCTGCTTTCTTGATGGCAGAGATGGGGCCAACAACCTTACAAATACAGGAGTCTAGCCAGGTATACTTGAGTTGAGTGCCACGAGCCGTTATAATGACGCTACACAAGGGTATTCCAAATGGGAAGAGGAACGGCAGGCAAAATCCCGGCACAGCAGCCTGCTTTCCCTTCCGTTCCAAAATATACCCAAGATAGAAAGATAAAAATACAAATACTCAAAACAAAAATGATAAAATATTAACAATATTTCCATAGACAATGAGATTGTGAGTCCCCTCTCCTGTTTGTTTAAAACATCATTTTATGTTCTGAAATAGTATACATTTTTTTTTCTCTTACAGGGGCAGAATTGGAGTCTCATTTAATACTACTTTCAAGAAAAGCTAGGCCAGTGAACAGGTAAATTTAAGTCAATTGTAATTAAGTGACTTGAAGTTTCAGGATAGTCAAAGTAATTAAAAACCTGGTGAAATCCAGACTTGGTCGCTAGACTTTAATTGTTGTGAATTGGAAGTAGACAACATCCTCTGCTTTTTCATACGACCTAAATACGGTCTAGGATTACATCTGAACAAGTGTTCTTGCAAACGACCACGTGACCTGTTTGTCTCTAGTACCCGTAACCCAAACCCACCTATCTCTGACTCTGGGCTGGCTGCACATCTCTGAGCAGTGTATGCTTGCTCTCCGATACTTAATTTACTCTGCTGAAATGGAGTGGAATTTCAATGTAGAGTTACCCATTAGCTCTAAGGCTAAATTTAAACCTCTAATTGAATTAATCCGTTCATCTTAAACACTTTGCTTTTTCCACAGAGAAAGTGCAGCAAGGCTTCTTGGGTGTCACAGCGACAGTTGTTCCATACTGTTTACTAAGTCACCCAAATGTAGAGAACTGGGTGGAGGTCTTGTGTAGCAGTTCAAGTCCCCAAACCACTTGTTGGGGGGGGGGGATGAGCCCAGAGTTGCTGTGTCCTTAGGCAGGAATCCGTATTTCTGAAACAGAACCAGGAGCCAAACAGATGTTTATGAAATAAATGGGAATGACTGTCCACATCTGTCTCCGTTTATAGAGGAGTAAAGAGATTACACTCGCAGACATTTGCGAGGTGACAACATGCTCAGATCTTCACAGAAGGTGTGTGTGTGTGTGTGTGTGTGTGTGTGTGTGTGTAAATCAGCTGGTCACTTAGAAGGTGCCCGAACACCCAGGCAACTAGATGCCTAGATGCTTTCATCCCTCATCTTGGCAGCGGCACAAGAGAGTGTGTTTTTGTGTTTGTGTGTGTGTGTGGGGGGGGGGGTGTTGTGGGGTGGTACATCCCAATGGTTAGCGACACTTTCGATAACAATGTCCATGTAGGAAGGTGTGACCTCCCACGTAACTGTTAACAAGGACCGGTGTATCCAGGCCTCTGGATTCGGTTCCTCGGTCGCGGGGCAAAGGCTCCAGGTGATCTCCCGGTAACTCTGCTGGGAGCACCATCCTGGGCTGTGGCTCACCGGGCTCTGTGAACACCCGCGATTCTCCGCCTGAGCGTACAGGGATGACGTGCTCGCCTCCAGCACCTGGCTTCCGCGCGCCCCAGGAACAGCCGGGACCGTGGGGACCGGCCGGGTGAGCCCCCGCCCTGCCACGCGCCGGGCTCACTGCTTTCCTCCTCCTCCTCTTCCACCTCCTCCTGCACCGTCGCCTCCCGCTGCTGCGGACTCCGCCTGCGGCTTTGTTTTCCTCCCAGGTCGCATTCCCCACACGTGATACTGTGTTATTGCAAAGAGCGCTTCGGAGCGCGAGCGCGGGGCGCGCGCACCTATAAATACGAGCGGCCGGGCCCGGGAGTCCGCGATCGCGCGGCGCTCAGGGCAGGCCAGGCGCGCGTGGGTCCCGGGCGCGGAGGGCGAACCCGGCGCGCGTGAGTCCCGGCGGCGTCCGAGCGCCCAGGACCGAGCATGGCCCGCCCGCGGGAGGGCAGGGCCGCCGCCTCGCACACCGCCCGCGCCCCGCACCCTGCCCAGCCCGGGTCGCCGAGCCTCGCGGCCGCCGCTTAACACTAGGCACTCGCCGCTCGCTTCTCCGGCCCCGCGGAACTGACGCCGCAGACGGACACAATGGCGGCGGCGACCGCCACCGCGGGCACGGCCGCCTGCAGCAGCAGCAGCAGCAGCAGCAGCCGCCGCGGCGTCACGGACTCGGCGGCCACCAGCGGGGTGCAGCTGCCGCCGCCTCCGGCCGCCGCTCAACCCGAGCCTGTCCGCAAGCCGCGCGTGGACCCGCGGCGCCGCCAGGCTGCCCTGTCCTTCCTCACCAACATTTCGCTGGACGGACGGCCGCCACTGCAGGACGACGAATGGGGCGGCCGCGAGGAGGGCGGCGCGACCAAGCCGGGAGCGAGGGCTCGGCTTAGCCTGCTGGCCGCCAGCTGCAACACGTTCTCGGTTCCCGGCACCGTGGCCGCGCCGTGGACCGCCGGCTCCGGCCCTTGCCCGCTGCCACCATCCCTGGTCCCCCGAGCGTCGGGGGAGTCGCTGCCTCCCCGTTCAGCCCCAGCCGTCACCAGTGCTCAACTGCAGCTGCTCGACGGGCCGGGAGGCGCCGGACAGGAGGAACTGGAGGAGGACGATGCCTTCAGCAACGTGCAGGTGCCACTGGCCAGCTTCTTGGGCTCCGGGACCCCCGGGAGTGCGAGCGGCAGTCGGGGCCGCCTCAACTCGTTCACTCAGGGAATCCTGCCCATCGCTTTCTCCAGGCAGAACTCGCAGAACTACTGCGCCTTGGAGCAGCCAGGCCAGGGCGGCAGCACTAGCGCCTTGGAGCAGCTGCAGAGGTCCCGGTGAGTATTCTGGAGGCCAGGCGCTCCCAGCTTTGCGGTGTCCCTGTGACAGGAACCCCACTGGGGTCGCTCCCCAGTGCGCCTAGCTAGTCCCCGGACTCCTGGCCGGAATCCCAAACCACTAGAGTATGTGAAAAGGGGGGCCCAGGGAGTATGTGGTCACACGTGTGCATGAACCCGGCACTAGCAAAGCTGGCGTACTATGCCTCTGCTTTGGCCAGGTAGTTGAAAGAAGCTGCTAAAAAACTGTTCTCAAGCCTCCCCGGTGCGAGATCACCAGCTTCCTGAAAACCAGTCCAGACCCGGAGGCGCGTCCCCAGCTCGGGGCGAGCGCTGCCGGGTGCAGTGGGTGGGGCCGGGGTAGGGCGGCGCTCTGGATCCCCAACTAATAGCAGACACGTGGGAACCCCTTTGGAAAGTTTGTGGAGCCCGGGAAAATCGTGTTTTCCTTTTGTTTTTCTAAGAAGTGGAAACTTTTTCTGGCATTTCCTTGGTCCAGGCCTAGGGGGTGGGGGATAAAGAGGAAATATGGCCTGAGACTTCCATTCCGAGAAAAACTGGCAAGAGTTGTAAGCTTGCTTGTGCTTGTGTGAGTTATCTGCAGGGTTGTGACATCCTGGCAAAAATGTGAAACCTGCTTAGTGGAGAATAGCTGGAGTTCATTGCAGTGTGTTAGGGCGGTTGACCTTGGTTGTGTATGGGGTATGGAGTAGGTGGGGCTCTGTAGGCCTGTGGCATGAGTCCTTCCTCCCTAGCAAGAAATTATAGCAGTGACTATCTTAGTTCCATAGCAATAACTTGGGCAACCAGAGCCTCTGTTTTCCTTTAAGGGATAGGCCCTTGCCAACCGTCTGTGGGCATCGAGGTAGGCAGGGAGAGGGCCTCTGCTCCCGATGCTCTCCAGTAATGCTCCAGTGGGAGCTCAACTTACACTGGCCTGAAAAAAAAAAAAAAGAAAGAAAGAAGGTGGCCTGTTGGAAAACTTCTTGCTTCATGGAATGAGAAGAGAACTAGCTTGGGCGTGCCTGGAAGTTTGCTGGCTTCCCAGTGTGTGTAATCAGACCCATGCTGCTGCAGGGTTGGGGTCCCTGGAGGCAGCCCACTGATGGCACCGGTGAATTAGTGACACTGGGTCGTCAGAACATGTCTGTCCCGGAAAGTGGATGGGCAATCTCACACTCAGCTCTTAGTGCCTCCGGACTAAGGCCAACAGAGGGTTATGGCAAGCATTATAATAAACTTGAGGTGTGTTAAGCCAGTGTGTGGCCTGCAGGGCAGCTGTGGAAATGGGATGGCCCCCCACTATTCCCCCAGGAACTCATTCAAGAGGTGTGAAGCACAGAGCATTTTGAGTCAAGGGACACCCTTGCTAAGCCTAGCCCTGGGAACCTGTAGGGTGCCTTATTTACTTATTTATTGTGGTTTTTCTAGACAATATTTCTCTATGTAAGAGCCCTGGCTGCCCTGGAACTCACTCTGTAGACCAGTCTGGCCTCAAACTCACAGGTCCAGCTAGGGTCTATTCTTTCCAAACACACCTCAGCATGCATGTGCTAATGTCAAAGGTGTGTCTCAAACTCACAGGTCCAGCTAGAGTCTATTCTTTCCAAACACACCTCAGCATGCATGCGCTAATGTCAAAGGTGTGTCCTTGCCTGGCAGTTGTCCTTTATCAAACTACTTCTGAATCGCCTGTGTTTGGCAAGATGATAGGTAAGCTTTTCTGGCAGTTCTTCATAGAGGGGGCAGGAGGAAGGTCAGGGTGGCAGCAGAGACCTTTGAGGTGTGTCACTTTTATGGTCCCCGAAGAGGACTTTTACCTGCTCACACTCACCTAAGGCCAGGTGGGGCCAGCCTTCTGCTATTCATTGCCTTCCCGGTGGAGTGGCTTTCCAAAGCTGGTTGGCCGGTGGAGCTCTCTCCATACACTGCTTTATAAAAATGCTCCTGGGATGTGAACTTCCAATCAATTTGGACTTTCTGTGGGTTCTTTCTAGCTCTGTAAGAAACTCTATGGAGCCTTGTTTCTCCTAACTGTGGTCCCTTGCCCCTTAGCCTCATGGACCCTGTGACCTATGTGAGTTCACGTCCAAGTTTCCCAGGTGACTGACTCACTGCCTTAGTGAATCTCAAATTCATGCTTTTTGTAGTGAATTTCATCTTTTTTATATTGAGCTGGTCATGAGTGTGTGTGTGTATATACATATACCTCAGCGCCAAGACCTGGACTCCTAAGACTCCTTCTGATTTCTTCCCTCTGGACTTTTGAGAGACTGGGGATGGAACCCAGCTCCTCAGGCATGCTGGGGAAGCCCTCTGCCACTGAGCTATAACCCTGGCTCGTCTGGACTCTTAGAAAACCACTTAGAGAACGGCTTTGCTGTTCATGTTTGAACCGCAGTGGGAGGAGCATTTCTGTGGTTGGGCCTTAGGGTACATACTCAGTAACCATGAGTCCAAGCAGTGGTCACCGTCTCCGTACACACAAACTGGACATCAGGGGCCTTTGACTCACAGCTGCCCTGTGTGTGGGCTCAGAGCGATTGAAGTACTGTCTCACACTGGCCCACTGAGCAGCACCCTGACCACAGCACCCAGCTTGGGACTGGAGAAGAACCTGGGGCTTTGCCATCCGAACATGGCTTCTTCCCTGCCGCCCCTCAGCCTTAACATTGCCTTGCACACAGTAGGCTGCTGATTGTGGCAATTTGTCTGGAGCAGGGCAGGCCTGTTGTTCCTGTGCTTCTCTAACCCTCATCCCATGGGCTGACATTTTTCTTCCCTGTTTTACCCTCCAACTTTGTTACACTTCCTAGGCTCCATTCTGTTTGCAGGGCTCCCATGGATCCTGCGAGCCTTGGTGTGCTGGTCTCTTTGCAGGCCTGGGGTTTCTGGGATGGAAGCCACCAGCTGCCATTGAATTCCTTGTTTCCCCTTGTCTGGGGCAGTGAGCCCCACATGGGCAAAGTATTAATAGGGCAAGGTATTAATATTAAAAGGGAGCAGATTTTAGAAATGTATTTTAAGGCTTATTTTATCTATCTATCTATCTATCTATCTATCTATTTATTTATTTATTTTTAAAATCATGCCAGGCCACAGCTGGCTTCAGAGAGCCTTGGAAGCTCCTGTCTGGCAGACAGCCACCTTGCAGTGCAGAGCGGGCTCAGGTGTGAGCGCCAGCCAGAGGGCTGCAGTGAACATGCTGTTTAAAAATAGAACACCCGAGTCAGCACTCCTGTGTTACACCCCACATGTCCCATACAGAGTGAGGTCTGCAGTGGAAGGAGGCCATATGATGAAGGACTCACGTTGGAATAATGATGCCACTGTGAGAGCTGTGTGACCCTGGGCAGGTGAATCAACCTTTCTGAGTCACTTTCCTCTTGGCCTGTGTCTCAGGCCCTTGCAAATGTCTTGGTTGTACTTGGCTTTCTGAATGCTAAAACTGACTGAATGCTAAATGTGCTCTAGGGGTAGGGCTGTTGGATGTCAGTGTAGTTAATGTGCCCTGGGGATATATTCTTAAGAAGCAGGTAGTCTAGTCATTCAAGGTAGCTTTTGTCCGTAATCGTGGAACTCAGGACCCTGAGACAAGAGGAGCATGCCCAGCCTGGGCTGTTCTTTCTGACCAACTAACCAGCCCTGGGTTACAGCAGTTACCGTGGTGGGGAGCACTGTCCAGGTCTGACAGCTTCCTGAGGTGAAGCTGGGCTGTGCTCAAGGGTCACTGGTTCGGGAATCCCCAGCCTTTCAGAGCAGAGCCCAGGCTCTTTGCTGACTGCTTCTCCTGCCCACAGTGGGCTTCTGCCTCCTCCTCTGTGCTATTGCTCACCTCAGTGTGAGGCCATTTGCCCCTAACTTTGTCACCTCCCTGCTTTGTGACTGGCAGTCAGGAAACCCAGGTTACCTCTGAACCATGGTTCCAGAATCCAGAGCCGTGTTCTTGACAGAGCTAGGCTCTAGGACAGTGCTTTCTGAAGACTGGCTGGCCACGGAGGTTTACAGTGGCCTAAGGGACACTAGCAAATAGCCTTGGCTCATGGCAGGGGCATCTCAATCTCAGGCCCAAGCCTACATAGTGTTCTTACAGTGACAAAGTCTGCAGCATGTGTGAGCTGGGGAGGCTGAACAAATTGGAAGCCAGGTGTATGCTCCCTGGGAGAAGTATGGAAGCCACTTTGGGCCCTGCCTTGCCCACCCGGCAGCTAGCCCAGAAGGTGCTGGTGCCTGTATAGTCACGTCCCTGGGGAGTTAGGGGAGGAGGGGTGGCCAGTGACATTCCAGGCAGAGTAAGAGGAGACAGTGTGAGTTGCTGACCTGATCCAGAACCAGCTTTGGGAATTCTGGGCTCTCAACCTGTTTCCTCCTGGTAGGAAAGGCTTTGAATACAGGAGCCTGTTTGTCCAGGGCTAGTAGAATAAGAAGGCCTGTGGCCTGCTGGGAAGATCTAGGGTGTATCTGTAGAGGTAAATGAGAGAGCAGGCAGATCTCTTTGAGTTCAAGGCCAGTCTGGTCTACAGAATGAGTTCCAGGACAGCCAGGGCTACACAGAGTAACCCTGTCTCGAAAAACAAAAACCAAAACAAACAAACAAACAAACAAAAACAAGCAAACAAAAAAACAAAAGATAATTAGATGCAAAGCAGTGGTGAGTTTGTTCATGAACCTGCTTGGAAAACATTCTTGAGTAAGTCGAATGGCAGGACTCCCTTCAGTGTAGGGTAGGCTTATTTATTTTGACATAAGTCTCAAATAGCCCAGCTTCAGATTTGGTTTGCTGCCAAGGGTGGTCTTGAATTTCTGCCCCCCCCCAACTCCTGTCTTTTCAGTGCTGGGATTACAGATAGCCACCACCTACGGCTGTGCCATCTGAGAAACTGGAAGGTCACATTGGACTTCAGACTTCCGAAGGCCTTGGCCTGCCTGGGTGGCCATTCCCAGTCAACACCCCTCCATCCAGGAAGTGGGCGGAAGAACTCCAAGTGGCCCGTTTTTAA